GAGCTGCTCGTCACTCGGCGTGGCGCGATTGTGGAGGCAATGTCTTGGGCGAGTCCGCTATCCTTGGGGCGATCAAGGCGCCCATCGTGCACGACTGCATTCATTTGGGTTCCGTGTTCAAAGCAGGTGCTGTGATGGCGCCAGAAGTTCGATACCGGGCTTCCTCCTCTGCTGCCTCCTTCCAAGTGTTATGGCGACGAGTCTGTGCGTTTGACGACGCTGGCCTCACGTGCCGTCTTGTTCTTGCAGACAGCCTTGTGATGTCCAGCCGGCTGTGCAATGCAGGTGCATGGCCCGCCCTTGCAGTGTCAGATGAGCGTCTTGCGCGCGTGGAGGTCATGTAATTGCATCGTGTAGCTGCGCGCGTCAGTTACCGTGGGGACACATCCCAGGTCACCGACGCATTGGTTCTTGCTAGACTCCGACGGCCCGACCCATCTACACTGAATCGGGCGGCCCGCTTAAGGCTGCTGGGGTCCCTGGTCGACGCGGGCCCTCGGTTGGCTTTCGCAGTAATTGCAGCTGAGTGGGGAACCCTCGAACACGACGTGGTGCGCCAACAGCGAACCGTCATGGTACTCTGGATTACGGGCCTACAGTGGCTGCAGGAATCGGCGCGATGTTGTGCAGATCTCCCCGGCCCCGCCGCCAGTTTCGGTGCCTTGGAGACGCTCGTGCAACGGAGTCAGCCAGCGTGGAGACGGGCTATTCAGATAGGGGTCTACGCACACACAGCATTCGACGCGACTCACACTTGCACAACATGTTGGACGACAGTTCTTTGCTGACGCGACTGCTGCGGGTGTGCCGGCCAGGGTCTACACCGACGCGCAGGGCGTGGCCGTCGCGCCACCGCCAGCGCCCATGCCCACTGCGCATACCTGCCCCTAGCGCGGGCTTCAGTGCCAGCGGCGCCGCGCACTGCGCGTCCACGTCGCACGTAGCCATCGCCAACTTACTGCACTTGGGCGGGGATGCGCGTCGCCGACATCCACCTGCATGGCGTGCCTTAATATCTGCTACGCCCGACCCCGCCTCATCGATCACCTATCGATCGTTTCGCCGCGATGTTTGCTCGCGGGCATGCTATCTAACGACAACCCAGCTTACCGCATCACTCAACCCACCGACCGCGCACCACGACCACCTGGCACCACCCCGCAGGTCCGCGCGCCTCGTCGTCGCTTTGTTGTGCCCACGCTACGCGCCCAATGCCCCCTCCCCGAGGTAGCCGGCGCGATCGCCAGCGCCGTCGCGCAAGCAGCAGCTCGACTGGCCCTCCTCGAATGCGACCCCTACCTCACCGAAGCCGCCGCGGATGCCCCACGGCCGCTGCTTCGCCAAGATGCCCCGCCACAGCCCCCAGACATCGCATATCCACCACCGCAAACCGAGCGTTATCCCACCCGCAAGTTTCTGACCAGCCAGTGCGCAGGCACTGCCGCGCAGGCGCTTCCGATCGCCATCGAGCGGGCCGAGTGCTTTGTACTTAATCTTTACTGCGGGCGCCGACGGGCAGGCGACGGTCAAACATGCCTCGAATGGGCGCACTGCGATGTTACTTTCACCCAAGCTGTACTTTCGATTGATATGGCTATCGGTCCCGTTATGGGTAACGTGATGCGAGGACAGACGCTGGAGACTTGGAAGGGGCACATGCGTGCTAAACGAGTTGTCCTGTCGGGGGGGGGCCCGCCCTGCGAAACCTGGAGTGCTATTCGTTGGGCCGACGATGCTGGCCCTCCCTCCCTACGTTCGCGCGACCACTTCTGGGGGCTCAAGGCAGTTGCGAGGCGGGGGCGATTTCTCGGGGGCAATGGTAGAACTGTTTGGTGTCCACCTTGTCGTTGGGACAGCCTGCTGGATGGAGCATCCCATGCCGGCCAGTTGGAGACATGCCGCGGTGATTTTTTTCGCCCCGTCCCTGCGAGCCGTCATGGCATCGCCTGCGGCCACGGTGGCAGATTTCGATCAGTGCGAGCACGGACAGAGCGCACGTGCATCCACCCGTATACTTGCGTTGCACATGTGCACACTGTGCGAGGGGTTATTCGAGACACCTGGGAGAGGATGCTGCTCACATCGTCGTGGAACACACGAGGTCCTGATGGGCTACGATCGCAGTCGCGACGAATGGCGTTCCGCGAGAAAGAAGACATACCCACTGGTTTTGTGTCAGGTCTTAGTGGATGGTATATTTGACTTTGTAAACCATATGCGTGAGACCAGCGACCCAGACGCACTACCGGGCGATGTGCAGGAAGGGGAAACCGAGCCTCGTGGGTTTTGGCCGGTTTTTATGTTGCATGGAGCCCTTATCAGGGCACTGACGAAAGTTGGGCTCCTGATTTCGTCTCACAGGCCCCTCGGCGGGCCCGTGCGGATCCCGAGCGACATTGGTTTCAACCGCCACCCCCCCCCGCTCCCGTGCCAGGCGTCGTATGCGGCCCCGAGGCGGAGCCCGTGGACCCCGGCCCCATTGAGGCTACAGGTGAACAGGAATATGCAGAGGCGTTAGCGTTTATCGAGGGCACCCCGATCCCCGATCGTGACGCTGCTTGCCCTCCCCAAGTCAGCGCCGCCCCTGCCTGCGCCCCGCCGCTGCCCCCCCTGCCCCGCCCCTCTTACAGATGAAGTTTTTGCTATGGTTGTCCGCGAGCGCTCTGAGGCCCGAGCGCGGCGCAAGCAGCGACTTGCAGCCCGAGTCGCCCATTGGACTATGCAAGAGGGTTTCGGCGCCAATCTTTTCGACTCCTGTCGCGAGTACCCATGGTGCGTTCGAGACGAGGTGCGCAAGGAGGGTTAGGAGTTGGGCAGGGTGAATCAAGCTGTGACAGTGATTGGCTATTTAAGCTTTTGTGCAACAGCGGTCTTGCCCTGTGCAGCTGACGCGCGCTCCGCCGTCGGCGGCCGAGCCAGGGGTCGATCCTTGAGGGGGGGGGGGCCATAGTGGGCGCTCCGAAAGGAACTCGCGAAGCCCCCTTTCCACAGCGGCTCTCGCCGAGGCGACGCTGCCACTGTGCGCCTGCGCTCGTTGCCAGCAAACCGCAGGCGTCGATTGGCGAGTTGCGAGGGGGGGCGGAGGTTTCTGCTTTCATGGGGGGGGGGGGCGCCAGTCACGCCTGTTGGAGACGTGGCCCGCGTGTGCGCACAGCGAGCTGCCTCTGCCCTGCATTGTCAGCTAATTGGTGGGGCCTGTCGCTTCGGCCCTCATGGATTTGAGACACAATGCAGACCCGCTGCGTGTTTTCTGCAAATGTCGTCGCGCGACCAGTCGCCAAGGGGTAGGCTCAGTCGGAGAGGGAGGTTTGGTAGGATCAGAGAAAGTGGCCGCCTGTCTCCTACGTTCTCGCGCCCGCAGCCTGCCTGCATGTGCCGCCGTCCCTGTCTCTCTCGGCGCGGTCCACGCGCCTCGTTGTCCCATTGGAAGATGGCAAGGGAGTTCGGGATGCTGCCAGTGATAGTCCAGTCATGTTTTGTGCTGTGCAAAGTGGATTTGTCCTGTGCAGCTGACGGCCGACATGGCGTTGGTGGCCGAGCCGAGGGTCGATCCGTGATGGGGGGGGGCCATAGTGGGCGCTCCGAAAGGAACTCGCGAAGCTGGCAGATCCATCGCAGATTGCAGATTCCATTGCACGACTGGCATCGAGGGATTAGCACCAGCCGTGGACGACGAATGGCAGCCGCGTTCGCAGTTACAGTTCTGGCGCCACAGTCCCTGTCCCCGTGGAGTTGGCCATGCGCCGACGCAAGCGTGCCGCTGACGACTAGGGCAGAGGGGGGGTTCAGAGAGAGATGCCGCCTGCCTCTCCTGCTCTCTTCCGCCCGCGGCCTGCCTGCTCCGCCGCCCACCCCCGCTCTCGTTGCCGTCGCCGTCGCCGGAGGTGCGCGCCCCCGCTAAAGCTGAGGGCGCGTCTCCACGCCTGGGCCCGCGGGGGGCAGCGGCAGGGGGCCCGGTGAGCGTAGTCCTTCGCTAACCACACGCCCGTTGCGTGTGGCACCGGGCCCCCGAGCGTGCTCCAGCGCGCGTCGCGGCTCGCCAGGTGCACGGACACCTGGTCACCGCGGCGCCAGTCAGCTTTGCATTTTGCATAAGCAGTTATGGGGTAGCAGGGTGAAGAGCCAGGATGAAGGATGGATGCGTTGTATGCAGTGTTTGCCCACCTTTGTCCCCCTCTGCGCGACGTGGCGCCTTTCTTTGGCAGTGCCAGGGCCGCCTGCCGTGCCTGTCTGCTACCACCGTTGCGACGTAGCGCTGACCACGGCTTAAGTGCCTTCGAGCACCGTG